CCATTCAAAATTAACCCTCTTTTGTAAAAGATTTGTAAGTGGACTTACAACTGAGGAAAAATTTGGACAAAATTTTCTGTAAAACCCAGCCATGCCCAAAAACCTCATTAACTCTTTCTTGTTTGTAGGAATCGGGAACTTTGCAATAGCTTCCACTTTAGCCATAATAGGTGTAACATAACCTTGACCTACTTTATGACCTAAATACTCTACATAGGCATGACAAAATTCGCTCTTTTCAAGGTTCACAGTTAAGTTTGCTTTAGCTAAAATGTCAAATAAAGCACGCATGATTCGGAGATGTTCGTCCCATGTGTCGCTGTATATGATGACATCATCAATGTAGGCCTCGCATCCCTCAAGGTCTTGAAGAAGGGAGTGAATCATCCTTTGGAATGTAGCCGGTGCGTTTTTCATGCCAAAAGGCATTACTTTATACTGGTAAAGTCCATCTGGTGTAGCAAAAGCAGATATTTCTTTTGCTCTTTCTGTTAACGGTACTTGCCAGTAGCCTTTCAACAGGTCAAATTTACTGACAAATTTCGCGTTTCCAATTTTGTCAATACAGTCATCGATTCTAGGTATTGGATATGAATCAGTTTTGGTAACAGAATTCACCTTTCTAAAGTCTGTACATAATCGGTAGGTACCGTCCTGTTTTGGTACAAGAATACATGGTGAGCTCCAATTACTTTTACTAGGTTCAACAATGTCATTGTCCAACATGTACTGCACTTCCCTTCTTAGGTACTGCAATTTTATTGGATTGAGACGGTACGGATGTTGTTTGATAGGCAGAGCGTCGCCAACTATGACATCATGACAAGCTGCATTAGTTTTCTTTGGAACATCCGAGAAGATTTGATGATACTCATTCATCAAGTTTTTAACTTGTTCTTTTTGATGAATGTTCAAATGTCCAAGTTTGGCATCAAAATCAGCCAAAATTTCTGAGTTTTTCAAGCGGACACTCTGATTACAATCTTTCTCATTCATCTCTACACTCGTATCACTCTCAATACAATTTTGAACAGTCTTAGCATTGGCTAAAGTGGAAACTGGTTTTACAGAATTTCGGTCACACCTTTCAAAATACTCTTTTAACATGTTAATGTGACAAACCCGTTTCTCTTTACGTCGACCTGGTGTCTTAACTACATAGTTTACATCACTGATCTTGCTTTCAATTTCATAAGGGCCATAAAATCTGGCCTGTAAAGGATGACCAGGAATAGGTAAAAATACAAGAACCTTATCACCTGGCTTAAACACCCTATTTCTGGCATCTTTGTCATACCACATTTTCATTTTCATCTGAGAACTCTTCAAATTTTCTTGTGCTAACTTACAAGCATTGTAAAGTTTTTCTTTGAAATCAGACACATAATCTAAAAGATTAAGATCACTAGTCTCAGTCAGCCACTTTTCCTTCAACAATTTCAAAGGACCCCTAACCGTATGACCAAACACCAATTCAAAAGGACTAAACCCAAGAGACTCCTGAACTGCCTCTCGTGCAGCAAATAGTACAAGATGAACCCCTTCATCCCAGTCTTTTTCATACTGGTAACAATAGGTCTTCAGCATTGTTTTTAGGGTTTGATGAAAACGTTCTAGCGCTCCCTGGGACTCAGGATGATAAGCAGTTGATCTATACTGCCTAATACCCAACTCATGCATGACTTGCTGGAACAACCCCGACATAAAATTTGAGCCTTGATCCGACTGAATTGCCTTTGGTGCTCCTACAAAACTGAAGAACTTGGTTAGGGCCTTAACTATGCTCTTTGCCTTTATATTCCTAAGAGGTATGGCTTCAGGGAATCGAGTGGATGTACACATAATGGTAAGTAAATACTGGTTCCCAGATCTGGTCCTAGGCAAAGGTCCTACACAATCCACCAACACTCGACTAAACGGTTCTTCAAAAGCTGGAATTGGTTGGAGAGGGGCAGATGGTATCTTCTGATTCGGTTTACCTACCATCTGACAAACATGACACGACTTACAAAACTCAGAAACATCCTTCCTTAGCTTAGGCCAATAAAAATGACTCAAAATCCTATTATAAGTCTTATTGATACCTAAATGACCAGCCATAGGTGTATCGTGAGCTAAACTCATGACATCTCGACGATAAGCAGCTGGGACCACTATCTGGTGAACAACACGCCACACTTCATCTGGGGAAGCGTCAGGTGGTCGCCATTTTCGCATAAGGATGCCATCTTTCATATAGAAGCATTCTCCAACTTTAGTAGCCTCTTCTGGTGGAAGTGCCCTCTTACTAAGTTGAATGATATCTGGGTCTTTATGTTGTTCAGAGAGTAAACGTTCTCGGCTGAGGATGTCCTTGCCTTGGCTTTCTGGTGGATGCAACTCATCATCCTCACCACCAAATCCTGGTAAAAGTTCTTTCTTCTCTTGCTTCTTGATATTGTGTGGTTCCATGCTTGTTTGAGTGCCATCAAGGTCAGATAAGAAAGTGTCATTCAAATCAATATCAACAGAGGAATTCGTCTCGTCAAAGGCTTGAGTATGGTCTGCCTCCATTTCTCGTCTTCTGGCCATCGCTCTAGTAACAGCACAGGCTGGATAAATGTCATCATCTTCATCATCGCACATGACATTGGAAGTGATTTTCTCACAAACTATAGGATCAGGTACAACCTTCCCACCAGCTAAATCGTTGCCTAACAACAAAGAAATGCCTGGAACGGGAAGAGTAGGTCGAACACCTACGATAACAGGTCCAGTAACTAAATCTGACTTCAAACTAATTCTATGCAGGGGAACATCAATGACGCCTAGCTCCACACCCTGTAATAAAACTGACCCACCAGTAGAAGTCTGCTCAGACAAAGGAAGCACGCCCTCTAACAATAACGTCTGTGCAGCACCAGTATCTCTCAAAATCTGGACAGGTTTTATTTCGCTAGAGTCACCGAGTGAAACAAATCCCTGAGACATAAAGGGCTTATAATCCTCCATAGAATCAATAGAACTGGACTGTGAACCCTGGACATCAGGAGTGTCAGAACAAATTGAAACTAAGGCTTCTCTATCACCTCTAACTGCCGCACAAGCATGTGGTTGAGTTTTATCAAAGTCATTTTTTCTCTTAAGTTTAAAGCATTCACTGATCAGATGACCTTTTTTCTTACAATAACTACAAGTAGGAAGCGACCCTATTCCAGAAGATCCTTCAAAACGTCCTGGACCGGACTTAGAACCACCTTGGGATGGAGACTGGGAACTTGTGAAAGACTGAGACCCTGAACCACTCTTTTTATATGTGTCTGAATTGGTAGAATTACTGCTAGTCTGAGATCTTGATACAAAATTCTTTTATGAGACAGAGCATAAGTATCAGATATGACTGCTGCCTCTTCAAGAGTTTTCACATTCTTATCTTCTAAATGTGTTTTCAAATCTTGAGAAACACATTCCTTAAACTCTTCTACCAGGATGACTTGGCGCAAATTAGCAAAAGTTTTATCAAGTTTCTTAGATCTAAACCAGTGATCGAATAAATCTTCTTTCTCTCGTGAAAATTCAACAAATGTTTGATTATCAAACTTCCTATACTTTCTGAATTTTTGTCTATATGCTTCAGGTACTAATTCATATGCTTTTAATATTGCTGCTTTGACCTTCTCATAGTCTGAACTTTCAGCTACCCCTAGTGCAGAGTATACCTCAGCTGCTTTGCCAACCAGTACACTTTGTAACATTGTTGACCAAACATGTTGTGGCCATTTAAGATTCTCTGCAACTTTTTCAAATTGGGGAAAATATTTGTCTACAGATTTTTCTTGAAATTTTGGAACTAATCTGATATTTTTTGCTGCGTCAAATTCAGTTTTGACAACTGACGGTTCTGGTTGGTTTTGTAATTTTAATTTCTCTAATTCAAAGTTCATTTCACGCTCTCTTTCTCGCTCTTCTCTTTCTCTTTCTCGTTCTTCTCTTTCTCTTTCTAATTTGTCTAATTCAAATTTTCGCTCACGCTCTCGCTCTCTTTCTGTCCTCTTTCTCTTTTCTCTTTCTCGATCTTCTCTTTCTAATTTTTCTCTTTCAAATCGCATTTTCTCTAACTCTACTTGATACTGAAATTCTGACATTTTATAAGAGCCTAACTCTGATTTAACTGTATAATCTGGAAGATCGTATTTTTCAAAGATGTTTTCTTCTACTAGTTTGTTTGCAACCTTAATTCTAATGTCTTGCTTTCTCTGAGAGGATTTAACATCTAACCCAAAATGCAAACCTAATGCGATCAAGTTATCCTTTTTTAATGTATCAAAAACCTGAACACTTGGTGAACTAAGAAAGTCTGTGACCGAAAATACCATGTTGATTTTTGCTGGCTTATAATCAAATTTAACGATTCAATAAACAAAATTCTAACAATAAACTGCAAATGTGCAAAAAAAAAAAAAAAAAATTCTTTATCCCGGACCAGCCCCCAATTCTGTTATGGGTCAGAATAACCCTAAATGCCAGCAAAGATCAATCACACAGTTTAAACTTAACAATAATTTATTTACAGTAATATACAAATCTTAAAGTACAAACTTAGCAAAAATCTAAAAATACATACATCAGAGTGTCCGTTGCTGCACACAATGTCCCAGTGAAATTATATCCCAGTAATACCTCAATGATGCTTATACGACAATTGTATCTATGCATTGAATTGACAGGATATTTATACAGTAATATAAATCTAGAATATTCTAGAAGTTGTAAGTACATGATATTCCTGGAAAGTTCTGGACATGAATAAAGTTCAAGAATGTTCTAGAAAAAATGACTAAACATATTGACCACTCTGGAATGTTCAAGAAACTTAATGTTACTAATAATATACATGATGAAACAATACACACCTCACAAAAAAAAATTTCCTGAACGCACTTTTCTACTTAAAACATTGTCTTCCTTCCTTTTGCCAATCTGTCCAAAATAGAATATTAGTCTTTTAATGGATACTAGTTTTCATGCATAGATCTTTGTCTTGTATCGTAAAATAATGAATGTCCTCTTCTTCTTGTTTTTCGCTAATGGATGATCTCGTTAAGTATTTCAAAAGCTTTATGCTTCCATATATCAATAACGCAAGGATTGTAACCGAAGAGAGGCCCAGAATAGTTATTGAGATGTTCGACTTCATTCCTTGATCTTTCTGTGAAACGTCTGATACTGCGGCTACAGAATAATGAGTTTGCCTTTTCTCACCTGAAATATTCACTTTATTGTTGAAATGTTCCTTTACTTAATAAATTCTAAATAAAAATAAAACTTAGTGTGAAAAAAAAAATTCTGAAGTATCATGAGTAACTCCAATTTTTGTAAAAGGTTAGAACTCCTTCAACTATTAGTCTACACATGTCCTCTTTTTTAGAATACTTTTATGCACATTTTTCCCTAGACGTTTAATTATATACAAAAAAAAAAGAAAACAGAAAATTTTCAGCTGAATGATTTGATTAAAAAAGTACCTATCAATCAGTTAATATGTATTTATTTATCTAAATTTCTTGGTCATGTTTGACCATACATGTGTTCATTATTTAGAATAAGTAATATAGATCCCAATTTAGTAAAACTGATAATATAACGTCGTTGTGTAATGTACAATATTTACTTAAATTTCATTCTGATTTCCATTTCACATCAGCCAAATAAACTTCTGAGGTAAGAGATTCTTTATCCCTGGTGTGTAACAAAAGTTTCTTTTTTTAGTTGAAGGTTATGAAGATAACGAACAGTATTCAATCTCAACGTCCATAAAACAATACAAATAAGAGCAGAGCAAACACAAACCTCCGAAACATCAGAGGTTGGATCAGGTGCCATATATTTTATAGTTATCAGTAATATGTTTGTATTTAAGAACCATCCAATACGTTATAGTAAAACTTTGACAAAAATATAAAAAAGATTTCCTTAAACATATTCTTCGTGCAAAAAAAAACTTTGTTTGAATTTTAAGCAAAGCACAAATTCTACAGCATTAATCCTATAAAAGTACCGTGACATTTGATTTTACACTTGCAGTATCGTAAGAGGAAATTGTTTTAAACGATTAAGGTACTAATCACCATCGTATTGATCTATTAGAATTTAAAACAGGAATTTGGACGTCTGTACTAATTATGTATTTATTAAAACTAAATGTTTAATTGTTTATTAAATATGCTTATGGAACATGAACTTTAGAAATGATTTGAAATCTTGATTCAGTTGGCCAAACCAGGAAAATATTTTACATAAAATATTATAGTTTGTTTGCTGATATACTTACTAGTAAAGGTAGTTTCTTTCATTAACAGACTAACAGTAGAGATGTATGTGCATCCGAGAGTAAAGTTACAATTTTCCTTAGAACAAGTACAGTTCTCCTTACAGTTCATCCCATAGCTTGGATAGACACATGCTTTTGAACAGCTGATGCCAGAGAATCCAATCTTACATTCTAACAAAAAATGTGTTTAAACGTCAAAGATGTTTGCTTAAAATGCTATGTATTTCATTCTCCACTACATGTGCATGGATATAACAAGTTGGCTAATCAATTTTTTTTTTCTGTTTAAGATGAAGATTCAATGTACTCTGAAATACTGTTTTTGAGGAAGATTAATTTTGAAACTTTTTTATATTACACAAAATTAAATTTTATACATGATTTTGAAAAAAAAATAATACAAGACAATACAACCTGTACAATTTTCCGTCTTGTAATTCCATTCATATCCAGGACAACATCCATATGGGTATCTTAAACAAAAAGATAATGTATTTTGATGATAGAACCCATATAAAATTATGTTTTTGTTAACTAAGGAAAGTCAGGAGATTCACAAAAACATGCATTTGACTTTAACTGCTAAGAAGATTGCCTACCGGTCACATTTGATTGGAGCTGAAAGATATCCACATTCGCATAGAATGATCAATGTTATTATAATAAAACTACTCATATTTGGTTTGTAACTATTTGTCAACCTTTCTGAAAGACAAACGCGGAAGTATGCAACGGTTCTGAATCGTTCCACATTTAGAAAATAATTTATGAAAAGGGAGGATAATATTGAGTGAAATGTTTTTTTTAATATTTGTTTCGACATGAACTTGTGATAAAAGAGTCTGACAAATCTCTTGAATATTAAGATATTTATCAGAAATTAATGGGTAACCTAACAGCAAAATATATTGCTAAACGTGATAATTTCAAACCTTCCATTATCCCTTTTTTTATTATTTACAATGTTGCAATACACCATATCCATCTGCAGAGGAGTTTATGTCTCCGAGTTGTTTAGAAACTCAAGTATATTTCCTGAAACGAGACAACCTACGGACAAAAAATGTTTAAACAGAAATATCAAAATTCATTTTTGAAATTAACAGTTCGCAATTTCTGTGGTCAATATAATGGCTTTCTCAGCAAAAACAATTAATCCCTACATCGAATTTTAACTTTAATTTTATTCCATACAAATTGTTAGAGTATTTTCTTTATACTAAATTGCCTCTGGATTTTTCCTTTTCTCGACCATTACAAGGACATGGCTGTAGGAGTGACCAAACAGCATACTCCATGTGACACATAATTCCGTCATGTTTTAGGAGGTTTTCCTTTGCTTTGCTCATGATTTTTCAAGTGTATTTTAAAAAAATTACTGTACATTATCTTCATGTTTCTTTATTGAGTTGTATTCTTTAAATAACATCCAAATATTTTCAATTATGAATTTAAAAGATAAAAAGGTATATATTAAGGTATTAAACCACATTAACAAAACGAATTTAGCGCAGGGCCATATACTATCTAATTAATTGTAAATCAATTCTCAAATTCTAAAAATTCATAAAATTGTTGCACTAATCCTGTTAACTTTCTCAAAAACTAAACTAGATTGTGATTTTTTACCCTGTTTTAATTTAAAACTTTACGAATAGTAACTATACTATTTACGTTTTGACATTTGTGCAGGAATATCTTAAACTTGTTGGATATTTCTTGGTCTATTTATTTCGAAGCAATTTTGTTGATGTATATTATAATCTGGGATAGTTGAATTCAATGACGCCATAATTGGTACTGACTACCTTATGTTGGGGTTAAA